CGGCTTTTTTTGGAGCTCAAGTCATTAAGATGATTTTGGATCCCTAGCGATAAGTAAAAATGATAGTAGAATTGACTAATCTGTTGGCGACATGCGTATCTACAGAAGCTAAAAAGGCTATTTAACCAGATTTATGCCACTTGTGCCTCTAATCGTTCATGTGGAATAAACCTCAGAGCAGCCTGATCACGTTTTAGTGTCTCACACTTGTAGTTATTCAAGAATTCGACCCCATATGAACAGTCAGCTTTCACGTACAAAACGATTTTTATCAAGGAAAGAAACAAGATTTGAAAGAGGAGTACTTAAGAAATGGGACTTGCCGTGCATGCACAACGAAAAAAAATCATTATTGGTTTTGTCCCTGACCAACAAATTTAAACTACAACCGTATATTCTGACCCATGATGTCAGCATTACGGTATGTGTCTTGTACCAATCAGATCATATCATTTAGATATATATCTCGCACCAATGAGACCACTAGTACACAGGCTAATTACAAGCTTTTGTTACCCTCTCGTGACTTAGTGTTAACTGGGAATTGACAGCTGACTTGATCTAATTAATTTTCTCCTGAACATTTTTAACAAACAACTTTGACTTCAGAAATACCTCTGATAATTTCCTTCTGACATTTCTAATTTGGAAGATCGGTCATCATAATCGGTATGTTCATTACACCTCCATAAACACCCAACAAGAGTTCTTTGTTTATAATTCAGGCAGCTTCTGAATGTAAGAAATCAAGTTTAGAAGATAGCTGATTCATTAAAGGCTGTTGCAATATGAGGAATGACAATAGAGTGCTTTATTCACATTTATTAAATTATATTATAATAAGCGAAAGAGGGAAAGAAGAACACCGTCAGTCAGGAGTGGGCTTCATGATGAAGAACCCCATCGCCAACAAACTTCGCACTCTACCAGTTGTTCATTCTGACCGCATCATGTCTCTCCGGCTACCTATCCAAGGAGACCAGTTTGTTACGCTTGTCAGCGTCTACAGCCTGACGCTGCAAGCTGACCTGACTGTACGAGAAGCATTCTACAGCGACCTACACAGCCTCATAACACGCACCGACTCCAAGAACAAATTAATCATCCTTGGCGATTTCAATGCCAGGGTTGGCAGAGACTCTCAACTGTGGAAGGGAGTTCTTGGAAGACACGATCACGATCATGGGAACTGCAATGAAAATGGACGATTGCTGCCGCAATTCTGTTCTGAACACCAGCTGACAATCTCCAACACCTTGTTCCAACAGCGTGAACGCTTTAAGACGACCTGGCGTCACCCTCGTTCTAAACATTGGCACATTCTGGACTATATACTAGTTTGCCAGAGGGACAGCAGGTATGTCCTACACACTAGGGTAATGCCCAGTGCAGAGTGCTACACAGAATACAGGCTTGTCCGCACCAAAGTTGTCCTCACGTTCAAGCCACCACCCAAGAAGAAAGGCCCACAGACCAAGAAACTCCAGGTGAACGGACTCTACCACCCAGAAATAAAAGCAGACTTCGTGGCCAAGTTGGCGGAGAATCTTCAGCACCTACCAAATCCTGACCCAGAATCCCAGTGCCAGGAGTTCAAAACTGCGATCCAAGAGACTGCAGCAGAAACACTTGGCTTCTCAGCCAGGTCAAACAGAGACTGGTTCGATGAGTCCGACACAGCCATCCTGGAACTCCTTGACAAAATGCGTTCCTCTCACAACCTACTTCTATCCAAGCCTGACGACCCCGCTACTAAGGCAGCTTGCAGAGCTGCCTGCAGAGCTGTACAGGGCAGCCTAAGAGCCATGCAAGACGACAGGTGGATTGCTTTGGCTGAGAGAACGCAGGTGTATGCAGACATCGGGGATACGCGCTCGTTTTATGACGCCATAAAGGCCATTTCTGGCCCTTCATATGAAACCCAAGCTCCACTCCTTTCTGCAGACTGAACTACTCTCCTACTCTCCTCATAGACAAAGAGTCAATCATGACTCGCTGGGCTGAACACTTCAGAGGTCTGTTCAGTGACCAGCGCACAGTTTTAGACTCCTCCAGCGAGAAGATCCTCATCCCCCCCCCCCCCACACACACACACACACACACACAAGAAGAAATCAAGAAAGCAATTGCTCAACTGAAACCCGGGAGGTTCCCAGGATCCAATGGAATCCCAGCACAGGTGTACCAGCATGGTAGGGAGTTTGTGCTCAGCGGGCTCGAGGACCTGTTCGTTTCGTGTTGGGAGAGGGGTGTTCTCCCGCAGGACCTCAAGGATGCAGTCATCGTCTCTCTGTACAAAAACAAGGGAGAGAAATCTGACTGCTCAAACTACCACGGCACTACCCTCCTGTCTGTAGCGGGAAAGGTGCTCGCCCGCATCTTACTAAACAGACTTATCCCCTCCATCGTTGAGGACTTCACCCTGAAAGTCAGTGTGGCTTCCGAGCCAACAGAGGAAACACAGACATCATCTTCGTGCTCCGGCAAATCCAGGAGAAATGCCGAGAACAAAACATACTATACTATACTATAATCGTTAATGAGGACGCCAACGTCACAAAAGTGGTTTACAGGAGGGTACTCTTAAGTTAAATACTAATACAAAGATGAATTACAAAGATGAATAGCAAAACGACTGGTGGATTGCTTTGTAAAACATGGGACTGTATGTGGCCTTCATCGACCTGGCAAAGGCGTTTGATACTGTGAGCAGGGATGGCCTATGGAAAATACTCTTGCACTTGGGCTGCCACCAAAATTCCTTCCAGTGATCCGCCAGCTTCATGAGGGTCAGAGGGGTCAAGTGAAGCAAAACGGCACTCTCTCGGACAGTTTCCTCATCTCCAATGGGGTCAAGCAAGGCTGTGTGCTTGCACCCTCCCTCTTCTCTATCGTCTTCAACATGATGCTGTGGGAAGCAAAAGAGGAGGTCCTAGACGGAATCTATATCCGTTTTCGCTCAGACGGCAGTCTCTTCAACCTTCGACGGCTGCTAGCTCACACCAAAACCGTAGAGCAGCTCACCACTGAACTGCTGTTCGCTGATGATTGTGTGCTCTTCGCTCAAACAGAAACTGCTCTACAGCACCTGGTAAACCACTTCTCTGACACGTTCAAGGTCTTCGGCTTTACAATCAGCCGGAAAAAGACAGAGGTGCTGTACCAGCCACCGCCCATGGAGAACTACTCCCCTCCCCACATCACTATTGACGGTGCAACACTAAACCCAGTCGAACACTTCACGTACCTTGGTAGTGGGATATCCGATGATGTTTCTACCGACAATGACCTTGACAACCGTCTCTAAAAGGCTACCAGTTCCTTCGGCAGACTGTCCAAACGAGTCTGGAAAAACCACTCCCTCCGTCTCATAACCAAAACCAAAGTTTATAGAGCCGTTGTTATCCCCACACTACTGTACGGTGCAGAACCCTGGACACTGTACAGAAGACAAATGAGGCTTCTCGAACGCTTCGAACCAGCGGTGCTTGTGCTCCATCCTAAACATCAAGTGGCACGACTGCGTGTCCAGTGAAGACGTTCTTGAGAAGGCCCAACTCCCCAGCATTGAGTCCATCCTGCTTAAGCAGCAGATGTGCTGGGCGGGTTGCGTCACCAGAATAGAGGACTCTCGCATGCCAAAAGCTATTCATTTCTGTGAATTCAAGGCCGAAAAGTGGAACCGTGGTGCTCCAAAAAAGAGTTACAAGGACCAACTCAAGAAACAGCTTTTCCTGGCAGGCATTCCACCAAATTCTTGGCAAGACACGACCAGTGACCGGCTCACTTGGTGGCCAACAATCTTGAAAGCAAGCCGCGAGTTTGAAATCCAGAGGAGCAGTGTCGCGAGAGAGAAAAGACAACGCTGGAAGGACCGGGCACTGTCTCAAATCCCAGCATCCCAATCTTCAGCCCTCATTTGCCCGCGATGCAGCAGAGTCTGTGCATCATGAATCGGCCTTCACAGCCATCAGCGGGCTTGCAACCTTACCTGATCTTTGGACACAAAGAACCAGCCATCATCATCATCATCATCATCATCATCATCATCATCACCTTGCAGTACTTTTGTTTTTTAAAAATTTGTTTTCTAGTAGCACCAAGATGGTAATGTTACTTTGCGAATCAGAGAGCTAAATAAACCAGAAGTATTCTGTTAGCTCAGTACATTATGTTGCAAATGGCACTAAGTTAGTAAAGAGAGAAAAAAAAAAAAGTAAAAGTAAATAAATAAAATAAAATGATTAGTAAGGGAAAAGCAGCATAATAAAAAGACATACTGCAAATTATCCATAATTGCGATGGGAAACGAATACTGGTTGGGAAAGTAAAGTTATTGCTCAGAAAAAAAATGACAGCTTCTCAGTAAAAAAAAAAATTAAACTAAGGTGAAAAGTGGAAACTTAATTTACTATCATTATAATGGACATTTTGTACTTGAAATATACCTCGGTTTATTCTTCCTTTAGTTGAGCCGGTCTTTGTACTTTTGGGGGCTTCAGTACTATGCATGTTACAGTCGAAGATTTTTCGGCCAGCTAAGATACATACATTAACTAGTGGGGATAGGGTGGCGGTGCTACACGAGCATGTCTTGTCTTCTTCTCGTCGAATCTGACCGAAATGCCGTTGGCCTGCCGATTTATTCGGTTCAAACCACTGCTTTACAAACCTGATAGTGCAGGGTCCTCGGATCAACGCTTCAACCATTCAAAAACCGTCTCATTCTTAGCCTTCGTGCATAAGCTCTTTTGGCAAATTATATAATTGAGCATAATAACTATCCCAAAGGTGAGCCGAGTTTCAAAGCTAAGTTTACAGTATTTTTTCTAAGTTCTGCCCTTTTACGCCGTCGATGTGACTCACGACGAAAACATTGTAAAAGTTATCAGCATTTTATGGTTTCGTTATGGTGTCCGCTGACCAGTAAAATACTGTATCGCGCCTTTAAAAACGTATTTCCGCGGTGTCCTGGAAGAGAGGCCTTTCCCAGTTCGGTTTCCGTGAGAGGGTCGATAGAGCTGAATCACGCTGTTTTGGGAGACTCAATGCATGATTAATGTATGGGGTTATATGGTACTCTTGTCGATATGGCTAAAAAATCATATGAATATGCGGTTAACATACTCCTGGTGGGCGATTTTAGTTCTGGAAAGGCGGAGCTTGCGATCATGTTTTCCACAGGTTTACCCAATGGTACGTGCCTACAGCAATCCTCGTTGTAACTTTGAAGTGTAATATGCACCTAATATACACCATGAATATGCGCTACAGATATAATGTATGCTAGGGTTTTATGATAGTTACTATTATTGGTGAGACTTAGAACGTGTGTTTAGTTTACCAGTCCCTGTTTCTATTGATGATGAACTACCGCGCATTCAGTTTTAACTAATTATAGATACCTAAGCTGTAATATTATACTAAATAAGTTTCGCAATCAAACGCATTAGCGTGGTACATAGCCATTGGCTTGTTCCAATTCTCATGACTTGCATTGTGAACAAATTACTCAATCTTAGGAAAGGACTAATATGCAAACTACCTGTAGCCAGTCTAGACCTCTCAGTTATCGATGTTTTGATTCATATTATATTCACCTAAAACACCACAACAAACAGAGGCTTGTTTTGAGACCAGACAGTTAATTACATGTATCTTATTATTGGAAATCAAAAATTTGATTTACGAATTTTGTGACCTTGGGTTAGTTACTACAAGTAGGCTGTCTTGGAATGCCTATGTCGACAAAATATCAAGTAAGGCTGATAAGATTCTTGGCCTCATTAAAAGAACGTGCAGGGCACTGAATGATGTAACCACCTTAAGAACCTTATACTGTACCTTGGTAAGGTCCCAACTGGAGTACTGTTCTGTCGTCTGGTCACCTTACACAGCTAGAAATGTCGACAAGTTAGAAAGAATTCAACGAAGAGCTACAAAGTTTATATTGAAGACAGATGCTGAGTATGACACTAGAAGAGAAAGACTAAACTTGTTATCCTTGAAGGATAGACGTTTTTTTTGTTGGATGTTTTGTTTTTGTGATGCACAGGCAAAAGATGATTAATATCTCAAAATAATTTCACAGTCGCATCCATTGATGCATGATTTAAATCAAAACCTTTCCTAGCAGAACTTTCTCAGGAAATGTGATGTATTTGTTGTAGTTCAATTTTATCCTTGGTTCAAATTTTATTTTCCTTTGTTTCAAACTCATTATCATACATTAACATGATCGAGAACAAAAGAAAAGAAAATTTGAACCTAGGATAAAATTAAACTACAACATATACATCATGGAGGCGTTGAGGAAATTTTTTTTGTTTGTTAAGAGAGCATTAATTTTTATCATGTGAGTCTGTGACTTGTGTTGAATAAAGCAGCTAAATTTGCAAGGCAAGCTAGCTGCAAAGTACAATACCTTGAGTTATTTAACAGAATGAATGTCTTAGGACGTGCAATCACAAAACATCCTAAAATGCAGAATGCCTTGTTGTATCAAACAAAAGTCTCAGAAAATAAGATTGCAGTAAAATAGGAAAATTGGTTAGAAATAACAGGAAAAATTAAAAGAGGCTTAGGTAATTGTTGTTGGGGCCCAGAGGATTGGGGAACCATAAGGCTTTTGAGCTAGTCCCTTTAAATTATAATTGTGTGTATTATAATTATTGTTAACTTGTTACTATTTAATTATTGGTTGAATGTCAATTAGACAATATATTTTTTAATCATCTTTCTCTTGTGGAATAGGGTACTCATAGATATGTGGGAAGCAGGTTTTCTGTTTTGCATGCGAGACAAATATTCTGCAACACTACTACCTTTGTACAACCAAAAGTTCTTTACAGTGCATCAAATTTATGCTATACCAGTGGCCACATGCAGTCTTTGAATGCCTATTTTTTTCATTGCTAGTATTTTGGCTTCTAGTTTTCAAAATAGCTCTAATTAATAAATCCTGTAATGAACTTCACATTTTTGCATAAGGCATGGGTAAAATAACACCAATGAAACCATTAAATGTGCATGAAAGTTTGTTGCTTCAAATGACAATCCCCAAAAATGGGAAAGTTTGGATGGTTCACTGAGGCCATTCTGTTCCTCCACTTTCCATCTGTATTTTTGCCCTGTTCTACTGTGCAGTACTGTGGCCCTATTGCAGTAAAATGGCACAGTAGTTTAATAATGAATATATAGATACATATATATATATATATATATGCTATACCATATATATATATATATATATCAGTAGCAGATTCAGGCCTCAAGCTTAGTAAGGGGCCACTTTTTTCTGTGTGTGTATACCTGCTGGCTTATTTTCTTTCTGTAATTTTTCTTTACACAAAATAAGGGGAGGCCTGGTCCCCTCCCCTAGATCTGCCACTGTATATTTCTATAGAAATTAATTTTTAGGGACACAGCAGGCCAGGAGAAGTATAGCGCAATCACCTCTGCTTACTTGAGATTAGCAAGGGTAAGAAATACCAATACAACATGAATAGAAAGGTCGGATTTTATAACAAATGGCCAAATAACAATGCTGAGAATGATGAAAAAAGATATACTCATACACATAATCTTGCCTCTGACAACCTTACTCCCCTAAATAAGAAAAGGTGGCAATGAATTCTGAGTACTTTTATTGATAGCTTCCTTAAATAACTGAAGGTAAATAACTGAGGAAGGTCTCTGACGGAAACGTTTTTTATTAAATTTTTTTATATTTTTTACGTCAGAAGTTGTCCATCCTCGCAATTTTTTTTAAACTTTCTACGTTCGTGTTGGCTGTGAGGTTTGGACTGCGAATCTTTATTGATCCTCCTGGCGCGGTGCACCTTTGTTGGCCTGAGAGTTCCATTAACGACTATATATATATAAGTAGAAGCTTGTAAGGGGTCCCACAAACAATGCTGATCAGTCTCAAACGCGCTGCCTGGAGGATCACCGAAGCGATCGTGCGCTCTTGAAATAACGTAAATAAGAGCAGAAATGTAATGGTCAAGAGGCCAACTCCAATGTAGCTTTGTTGGTTTATTAGCTCGACGTTTCGACCGTCTCGATCTTCCTCAGGAGCATACTCAGTATGCTTCTGATGTATGAAACAATGTAGCTTTGTTGGTTTATTAGCTCGACGTTTCGACCGTCTCGGTCTTCCTCAGGAGCATACTCAGTATGCTCCTCCTCAATAAACCAACAAAGCTACATTGGAGTTGGACTCTTGACCATTACATTTCTGCTTATATATATATGTATATTTAAATATAAACAGAATAAAAGGGTAAACCAAATGATGAGCTCCCAGTAGAAGGATCCGCAGAGGATAAAGTGCTTCAATGAAAATGTTAAGTAAGTGTAAAACGATGAAACATGACGCAAACTTCTAACTGTTTCTATACTGTACGCTTGGGCGGCCTGTGGTCTCATGGGTTGGAACCTTGATATATCTTTTATTTTCTACGGCATATGTTAACGTGAAGTGACGTTCTTAGTTGCTCAAATATTGTTCCGAACCCTTGTGTCCATTTTCCTAACAAAGTCTGTTGGGTGTAGGTCTCTCATCAAACGTAGGAAATTCCTTCCACAAGTTTCCTTCTCTCCTCAATTTTAACGTTCCCATCCCCTTCTGTAGGTTCCCTGTGACACGCCATCTCTTGGCTGAGCTTCCTTATGGTTGCAGTTTTCATACAAAAAGTTTGTGTAACTGAATGATAACCCTCTCTTGGGTTTTAATTGTTGTTGGTCTATTTTCTTTTCATAATCAATTCTCTCCACTCTGTTATATGATATCACATTACCTACAAAATAGAGATACCATTTTCAACTGCTGGTCGCATCTGGATTTGAAGTTCATTATCTTGAACTTGCTATTGTTTTTGCTCTGTCTAAGGGACTCCAATTTCAGTGAGTAGAATGTCAGAGTTTAGATTCACGCTTTAATCTCACCTTAGGCACAGTTTATCATCCATAGTACTGAGCGCGTTATTAAAATTTTGGGCAGCAAAATGTTCCTGTGTGGAGATGCCCAAATGCTGTCTAGCCAAATCTACCATTCAACAAGTTTCATTTTCAAACTCCCACCCAAGATATTTAAACTGTTGTTAATAGCCTAATGAAACTCTACGAATTACAAGTCGCCCCAAAATCTCTAACGATTGTGTACCATAATTACAGGTCCAGTCAAAAGCTTTCCTACCTTCGCAGTTTTCAGTGTTCTCAAATACCTTTAATTATTTGATAAATATTGTCTAATGACGGTTCTTTGTCTATTACTTAGGGAATCATGCTGCTTTATGACATCACAAAGTACTCCTCGTTTGATAATGTGCCTTTCTGGATGCGTTTGATCAAAGAGGCAGGTCCTTCCTTTCTTTTTTAAATTGATAATGTAACTATTGATGTTGTTGATTATACCCTTTGTTAAATGAACAGGAACTGGACCTGGGTGTAAGCCTGCAAGTTTGACGGTTAAACCTGTGTACAAACGGAACCTCTTTAAAATACTTACCTGTAAACCTGAAAATACTTATACTCCTAAACTATGTGTATATGCATTTACATCTATATTCGTCATGACTCCAAAAGCTACTGCCTCTTTTTCCTGGCCCGAATATAGCCAATGCTAGTCGAAGCGGGCTTCTCTAGAGAAAAATAGTTTGAAACAATACCTTACAACAAGAGGAAAAATGAAAAATGGCTAATTACCATTTGAAAAGGCGACAGGGTGAGCGCGCAGTGAGATTCTTAGTTTTTGGATCTTTAAGATTCTCCTATATTTTGACACTGCATTTACAGTAACCTCTCTGTTGTTGACTGATCAGCCATGGAATATATTTCCTTGTATTGGTAAACTCGTTTATTGACTTTATTGTAATGTTTCCAAATGCCTAGCATGCCCCTCCAGATGTTGATGTACTGTTGATGGGGAGTAAGTGCCACAATGAGGATGGAAGGGCAGTACCAACTGAAGTAGCAGCAAAGGTAGCATAAATTAAGCAAATGAGTTAGTATCAGAAAAAAAGATTACGCGGAATCAGTGTGATGAATATACGAACAAGAAAGTGAATTAACGAGGTTAAACATCACGAAGTTGTGGTATTGTCACTAGGTGAACAAGTGAAGTGAGTGAACAAAACTAAATCTTAACAGTTTCTCTTGTGAATATGCTGCTTGCTTACTGTTGTAAGTTATGGCTACTATCATTCTAGATTTAGATTGAATTTCTTATTCGGTTACTTTTCATCAGAACGATCGAATGTTGTTTTTATTTAAAATTAACACGTTTTGAGCTAGATCTAGATGTTTGTCATCTGCACAAACTTTGTTATAGCTTTGGAAACGGTAGACGCTTGGATTGCGTAGCTTTCTTTGTCCTTGTTTTTGTTTGGTTTAGTTTTCGCGCAACTGTAGCTTTTTTCAATTAATTTTGTGTCGTGTGCTTTTGTTGTTTTGTAAGTTAGGTTTGATTTTACATTAATTGCGTAGTTATCTCTTATACTATTATATAAAGACCAATGAAATACCAGGTGAGCTATCGCGCGAAAACGTGATATCTTCACACGTGAAAATAACATGTTATCTTGACAAGTGAAAATATTACCGTTACTAAGGTTCTGTAAGAAATAGCGCCTTTCTTAGCAAAAGTGAAATGGTTTGGTTTTTCATCGATATTTATATGATAAATAGAATATTACATGGCCGCGCGGAAATACGTTATTTTTACAAACGAGAAGAGAAATTTTGTATCTCCGCGCGGCCATGTATTATCCTCTATTTATTTTGCCTTAGTTAGTGATTTTTCGGGCAGTTCTGCGTCTAAGTTTTAGCGCGTTTTCTGCGTGTTTCGTCAAATAATCGTCTTTACCGCTTCATTTTGCTTCGTTTCGCTTTATTTTTGTTTGTTTGTTTGAATAAATAGTGTGCATATAAGACTTCACAATGTGTCCCCTGTCGATTCAAGAGCTTTTCACATTCGAGTCGTCAAAACGTTCAAAATTCTTTTAATATTGTAGTTAGTATCGTTTTTTATTTGCTCTATTTATGAAATACATAAATTTAAGAAAAGGGGTGTGGGACGAAAGAGAGTCGTGTTCTTATATCTTTCGATTCCAAACTTGTGTTTTCGCGGTTGACTCCTAATGAGTTAATTCTTGTCCCGCGCTCGCGAAAGTCGTTTAATATTTGTCTTTGTAATTTGTGTTTGTTAGTATTGCTGTGAAAAGAATGGGTATTCTTTCCTGTAGTTGGCTGATGAATTTGGATTAAAGTTCATGGGAGTCAGTGTCGAAGAGAATATTAACGTAGATAAGGTGTGTTATAACCTGCCAACCGTTGCTCCAAATGCATATTAAGAGTTATTTTCGTTAAATTTGATTTTTTTCTCTTTTTCGCTTTCTTTTATGAATTCTTACTTTTCTCTCAGATCTGAAAGTGGTCCCCCTAATCCTGAAATGCATGTCATCGTGAGGTCGTCGTAAATTTTTCTTATGCTGCATAAGGTTTCGTCGACCAATAATATACATTTCTTTTTTGGTAATCAAGAAAATCGATAAGATACAGATAGATATTTTTTTCGATCTATGGAAGGTGTCGCTTCAAGTAAAGGACTGTTATAGGAGCATGTTTTTGAGTTGAGACTAAAGTGAGTTTCTTTTACAGACTTAATACGTAAGGGTCTGTTGAGTTCAGTTGCTACCATCCTCACTGATGACTTTAGAAGAATTTAGTTTCCTTTTATTCGTGTCATAAATTTAGAAATTGAACTGCTATTTTTCTGCAGGCATTTTTTACCCTAGCTAGAAATATCCTAAGTAAAGTTCTAAAACAGGAAGAGGTACGTCTTGTTTGGTGTATTATTGAAAGATGTATTAAAGCTAACACACATTTTATAGCTGTTTTATTGAACACGGTTTGAAATTGTTTTCTTCGTAGACGGTTGCTTGAGCTGATCTTTGCCGACTTCATTTCTACTGGCACCATGAAATTGCAAATTTTTGATTACCTAAGCACAATCTGTTATTTAGTTGCTGATATGTATTCAGTTAAACCTGGTTAAACAAAGCAGTTTTTCACCGTGACTATGTGAAAATTTTATGTGTGAACTGCGGATGAAGAAATAAATAAGCAGCAGTGAAAATAACGTATGATGCACGATCCTCGCAGTAGATAGCGCTATTTAAGCAATAGCGAAAATCAGACCTGAAAAAAATCAGGCCTGTACGTGACTCGAACCACTGACCTCTGCGATACTAGTGCAGCGCTCTACCAATTGAGCTAACAAGCCAACTGGGAGCAGGCCGTTAAGTTGATTCGTAATAAACTCGTGAAAGTGATTAATGAGATAGAATGAATATATGAAGTTCATATATTTTGAACTGCAGTATTAGATACGTATGATGCACGATCCTCAATATACTTCATATATTCATTCTATCTCAGTGAAAATAACGGCTGAAAAAAAATTCAGGCCTGTATTAAACATATTTTGTTGGTTTTAATGGGGCTTTAAGAGTTTTTGTAAATTACTTTTTGCCTCTCTCTTTGTTTCTTCCGGTTTTATATTTCTATCCGTCAATGGTCCAGTTCTTACTTTTCTAAGTACAATTTTAACTTCTTACTAACCGTGGATGGGTTACGTATTGTGGAAAATTGACCCGAGGTCGTTCAAAAATGACCGAAGGTCTATATACCCCTTGAGTAAAGAAAACAAGTTATTTTTTTGTAATACTCGGACTAGACTCGTTTATTTTGAATTTGCCGGCTTTCGCGAACAAGGATACAGGGCGTAGGACCCTTTTGCATGTAAACAGTCCGTATGGCAAAATCCAGTCAGAACCAATCAGAATGCTTGCATGGTTGTATCTCTGGACTACCTTGCCATATGATAATACTAGACACTCTTTTGGTCTTTTCCACTAGAGATCGTTTTCAAAGATGGAGCAGTTTCTCAGGCAGTTCTTTGAGATATCATCAGTGAATTGGTGTGGAAGATTGTTTGGTTCCCTATACCTGTACTTGTTTTAGCTATTTTTGTGATATTTCATTACTGCACGTTACTAGGAAGCCATTGAGGATGTTATTACATACATTACTTGGATCATTACCACCACTATTAGAAATCTTTTAATTTGAAACTCAAATTTGTTTATTTCTGTGACTTTCAGGAGGTTCTTGTCCAGAAGATTCTCAAGCAATAAACTTCACGGATCAAGGATGGTGTTTTCTCCCTGAGGTTTTTCCGTTCTAGAAGAAAAAATGTATGTTCTTCTTTGAATTGACTCGGAAGTTGACAGTGGTACTCTTTTTACGCGTGTCATTTTTTTTTTTACTTTTCTTGTCCACTTCTACTCATCAATGCGTGTTATGCAGGAGCCATCAAAGCAACCGCCTCCATCATCAAATAATGAAGTCGCAAAAGAACCCCAAAGAGGTATTGCAGAATAGTTGAGAACAGAAACGGGTGCATATTTTATTCAAACACATCAAATAACATTCGCTCTGACGAAGAGCTAACGCTCGAAACGTTAGCTTTGAAACTCTCTACGGTTGCTAATTCACATTATCAACTCAGTTGATGAAACCAAAACTACCTTGTTACACTCCCCCACCGACGTGGTACCACAGTCTCTTTAGAAAGTTACCCCCTTTCTTCATATGATATAACAATTGAGTGAATCTCGGCTCTTATTTCATTTCTAATTCGACCAGATATGTGGTGAAGAATTCCGCGATCAGAAATTCTATAATTTCATTATCGGTACATGGCAGACTAGTTTACATCAGTTTGTCACATTTGATGATACAGGTGACGACGACGTTTTTATCTCGATAACCACTTTCTGCCAGCTTTGCCTACCTTGCCTTTTTAAGCAGTAATCAACAAATGAACTTTTCTTTACGTGTAGAGCCTCAAGAAATTCTTGCAAGAGGACCCATAGCCTTGAGAGCGTACCACAAAGCTCTTGGTGAGGGGAAAACTAGCGTTAAAAGGGTGCCTTTCATGGTAATTGGACAAGACCGGTCAGGAAAAAACCAGACCCTTTCACCCCTGACTTTTTAAAGAAATTTTGTTTAAAAAACACCTATGTTCACAAAATGGCAAATGGAGGCCTGTGTTTAAACCTTTGACGTAGGTAACCATATATTTGAAAAGTAGAATGATCAATGATTCTATTAATACTATTTTAGTATAGTTAATTATTAACTTGATCTATTAGTTATTAAAAATGGCAGCCAAAAGAGGAAAAAAAGCCATTTGACTGTTTTAGGTGCATCAGTTTGTACCTTTTTTTGTCTAAATGGTCTGTAATAGACAGGTCTCCTGTAGAGAATAAATGCTCTTCAAAAGCCATGTAAAATTCTTGTAAAATACCATAAAACTATCCAAAATTGAGATAAAAAATGTGCATGTATATATATAAGATCTAAAAAACTTAATTACGCTGGCTGACCCTTAGTCCATACATGTATGTACATTATACCTTGAGAAAAAAATGGCATTTGTCAAACAGAAAATACATGTACACTCTGGAAATAGTTTATCACTGTCAGTAATTTCTGCCACTGCCACTGCCACTGCCACTAAGTGTCAGCCTACTGTGATAAAGGTCATGGCATTTATCACGACACAACCTTACATTGCCATGTAGGCAGCTATAGACAGTCTCCACTCTGGCTCTTTTTTTGTGTGTATCTGTTGAGCACTCAGAACATCTCCCTCTTTTCAATTTTCCACATTTGACCATATTTACAGACTCATGGCCTGATGCACGAAGAGATATGGAACTGGTGATAAAGAAGGGCGGCCATAGAGTTTGTGTGATGGTATGTTCCACGAAGGGAATTGACCAGTGTAGAAGTAAATGACTTCTGGTCCATCATAGGGGCTACATCCTCCTCCACAGGGCCACTGTTCCAACTCAGATAACACTGCTGATACATAATAAATGAATTGAGTCTGCAAATATCTAAAAGATGGAAAAATATGCGCATCCACCATTTCTTTGATTTGCAATCAATGGCATATGTTTTCTTTAGTTGATCATTTTTGTCAATAGCACCCATATTCTCGTTGTAATCCTGTACAACAGGTGGAGCAGTTATTGCAACAACTGATCCACCTTGTTTCTTTCTTGACACATTATCCTGCCCCGTAGAAGAATGCACATTTGACAGAAAGGAAACATCTTTTGTGTCCTTCCAAACAGTTACTGTTATCCCTTCAGCAGTTGCGGAGTGATAGTCTCCCTGTTTCATTGTCTTGAGCAAAGGTTTATCTGTAAGGCATTTTGGATATCCCAATCTATTTGAACGTAGAGTTCCCACAGTGTAAGTTCTGAAGCCTTTCAGTGTTTTGCAAAGGGCAATGCTGGTAAAAAAGTTGTCCATGTAGATCACATGACCACGATTATCCAGGGTGGGATGGCAAAGATCACAAACCACACAAGCAGACAAACCTTGCTCTGCATTGCCCTTTTCTTTACCCACATAAAGTTGAAAGTCCCATAAATATGCACAACAAGAACAACCAATGCACCACCACGCTTACATTTTGCCCCAAGCTGTAGTTAATTTGAAATGATTGTTTCAAAATTGTCATCATAGGGCCTATTTTGTGGAGTTTATCATAGTCCTGATGATTTCTGTCAACAGATTTTTCATTGTCTGCAAGATGGATGTTTGAAAGCAAGGCCCAAAATCTATCACGAGTAAAAACGTGGGCAAATGCTGGACTGGCAACCACCCAGTCTGAGCTACAAATATCATCAAGCTGACTAATTTTATTTATTGAAGTTCCAAATAGAAATCCAATAAAACACCTGATTTCCTCCCGGGTAGTATCTACCCAATTATTCACATTGGCCTGTCTAGCATACCTGTTTGTTTCGGTGACAAGTTGGTCCCAAAGCTCATCCGTAAACAGTTGATCAAGGAAGACAACAGGCTCCGAATCCACATCAAAGTTGTGTACAGGTCCATGTTCTGGTCCTGAAAATTCTGGATAGGCAACATTCACAACTTCTTCCAACTCTCCCCAGTTAATTTCTGGAACTGTTTGGCGTTTTCCTGAACTTCTATTTCGATTTTGTGTTCGAACACGAATTTCAGAAGTCGAATGCATCTCCTCATTGCCAAAATCACGTTGTAAGTTTTGATTCTGAACATCTTCAGCCTCGTGTGGTCAGAAATGTCTTCATCGCTATCCTCTTCCCAGCTCTGAATTGAATCGTCGCTATCATCAGAAGCATCGAAGAAAATACGATGAATTTCGTCAAGACTTGTGTACCTGGCGGCTATTTTTAAATCCCCAGAAAATCAAATTTAAAAGTTGCCTTGGAAAAGTTTGAAAAAGCACGATGAAAAGTAGGAAATTCGCTTCAAATCGCCGCCATATTGAAACTCGTTGTTTATGGATAATTTGAGGGGGGTCTGGGTACTAAAAGAGCCCTGATGGGCCTTTTAGGGGCTAAAACGTACACCTTCTTTGGGAGCGCGCTTATATGCGCGCTTCGGGGCGAAAGGGTTAAAGAGGTCACTGAAAGGGCAGCTTTTCAATCCGAATGAAGATAGTACTGTGGGAATAGATGTTGATCCTTCACACTTCGAGGTGTCAACTGAGACTTGGAAGGCAGGGGAAAAGGAGCAAGAAGGTGCTACAGCATCCATATCCTTTGAACACCGTGCAGCACAGTTGATTGCAAGTGCCTTGATGGTCGATAACCAAACGCTAGAGGAAAAAACTGCGGATTCAATCCAGCCTGAAGACATTTTAGTAGTTAAAGCAGAGTTATCACCTTTGATTTCTGGTTTCGCTTCTGGCGATGACCGAGGATCCACAAAAGACGTTGGACGACCCCTCCAGGCTGGAAACAGTGCAGAAGAACCAAGCAGATTTTCCACGGAATCAAGTCTTCAGTTTGCTTCAAGTTCTTCAGAGACAACTAAAGCAACAAGTAGTGATTTTAAACCAGTTGATGAAATGCCAGAAGAAATAGCTGCATTGGTCCAGACCTTACTTCATGAAGGAAAGAATGCAAAAGATGAAGAAGAAACATAGGCTGTTTTATGGGATTTTGGTGGCCAGTCGGTTTACTATGTCACCCATCCTCTCTTTCTTACATCCAGAGCTATTTATTTATTGGTTTACGATCTTAGCTGAAATTCCTTCGAAGCAGCAACACCTCTTTCTAAGCAAGGTATGCTCAAGTCATTTGAAGACAACTTCAACCTAAATACGAATCTGGACTATTTAGATTTCTGGATGACGTCCGTTGCTTCGTTGGCAACTGAAGGTGGAAAGCGCCAAGTAAGTTCCGACTGTAAGTTGACGCTGGAGAATCTTCCTTGTGTGTTTCTATTGTGCACACATGCTGATCAACCTCATGATGGTGGAGATCCTCAAGCACTTGCCGAGGAGATCTTTCATGTTCTGCAAAACAAGCCGTATTGTTTCCATTTGTAATGACGAGCGTGTCTTTGTGGTGGACAACAGCAAATCTGGCGGAGAATTTGAGTGCCCAGAAGTAATACAATTGCGTCAAACAGTACTCAGCGTTGCTGAGGAACTGCCGCAGATGAAGGAAGCCATTCCTATTAAGTGGCTACGATATGAAAAGGCAGTTCACATTATCCAGGAAGAAGGCCACCAATGGATCTCTCTACAAAGAGCAAAACAAGTTGCGTTGGAAAAGTGTCAAATTGTGGACGAAGAGGAGTTTTTGTCGGTACTGAACTTTTTACATGACCAGAGAATTGTAATTCATTTTGATGACTCCCCACAGTTGAACAAGCTAGTGGTTCTGGACCCTCAATGGTTGATTGTCGTGTTTAAGGTGATCACTGTGAAGCCGTTCAACCCCGAGGAACGAGAATTTAGAGGCCTATGGAGCAAGCTTGAGAGAACAGGAATCTTGGAGGAAAAACTTCTGGAACATCTTTGGGGTCCATTGTTGCAACAAGAAGAAACATCGGAAAGTCTTGTTGGTATCATGGAAAAATTCAGCCTGATGTGTCTTTGGCCGTCATCAGCTCCTTAGTGTGACAAGCAATACCTAGTTCCATCTATGCTGATGTCATATCCTCCTAAAGGTGTCACGAAGCTTTTAAGATCCAGGCAACATCCATCTCTTTTCTTTAAATTCCAGTCTTGCCAAGTACCTCCCAGTCTATTCCCTCGACTCGTATTGCAGTTTTTGCAGTGGTGCAGCAATGAACTTCAAAGCTCAGAGGACCCGAAATTGCACCACAACTTTGCCCGCTCGTTCATCTCTCCACCTGAAGGTTCTTTTGTTGTCCTTCTTTGTCATCCATCTTCGGTTGAGGTTTTTCCTCTCATTTAAAGAGAGAATGATGACATATCAGAAGATTTACAGCCAAAAATGTCCTCATCCATTAATGAATGCCCTAGCAGTGACCCATTTATAACACACGTTGCCCGTTTTGTGCGTAGGCAGTTGTTGTTAATAATCGAGTGCATGAAGAAAGAATTCTTCTGGTTAAAGAACATGAGATTTGAGGTGTGTTTTCTATGTCCGGTGTGTTCTCAAGGGGGCAAAGTCAATTACTGTCAAACGCATCGTGCACAGGGTTGCATACAAGAGGAATGCCTTCATTTTTGGTCCGAGTCAAGATTGTTAAGTAGTCCACAAGGTGTCACTTGTCGCGAATCTGTCGACGCCGTGGAAACCAGAATCAAGTTAAAGCAGTTTGCGCCTTGGTTGATTCATATCAAGGAAAATGTAATCGATGAACGCAGTTGGGCTGAAACGTTTGCTTGTCTTAAAGTGCAAATAGATTACTTGAAGGTGACTTTCACACTTTACATTTCTAAATTATGTTCGTTATTTTCATCTTCTGCTTGAATTTTGTCACCGCACTATCTCCTTTCTGGAGTAGCTTTTTTTGGAAGAAAGTGACCATTCGACATATTCGTTTCATGCATAAATGGCTTTGGTTTGTTGCCGTGTCTCAAGTTATAGAGCGTGAGTACAAGTTTTTAATGGAAAAAAGACTAAGTCAGTTCGCACTAACTCTAATCTTTGTCTCATAAATATTAGAAAACTTCGAATGGAGTTTACTCACTTCTGCCAGTTATGAAAGGTAAATGTGAATGTTACTTCTTGTCTGTGATAGAATTTTTCCATATTCTTCTTTCGTGGTTGTCTTTTTTCATTCACAATTCATTCAGTTCTTTTTTTAAATTTTTACTTTATTTCTTTTATATTTTTCTCTCCACTGGAATAGGTAAAGCTAGCTCGTGAAACACATCGTTACTAACACTTCAGCACGATTAAATTACTGATACTGAATTTGGGAATAAGCTTTTACAGTTTTTTTTTTAGAAAAATTGTTCTCAGTCCTTTGCTTTCATTTTTAATGCACAAAGAGGAACGCGAGGAGAACGCCCTCGCTTTACCTTCCGCGGTTCAAGACACTCTTCTTTCACCGTCGTGTGGTGCTAGAGATGTTGTGATCCGTTTCCAAGACGATCTGCTTCTGGATCAAACCTCTTTAGAAAGTCCAAATGACGAGACAAAGAGAAAGATTCGTTGTTTAGAAAGAAAGGCAAAAATTTCAAATAGAATGGATGTGGTAGAACACTCGAGGGAAGTTTCACCTGCCGGGACAACAGGTAGACTATTGACTGCTTGACTGACCAGTAAGATTGACATATTATTGTGTTTTATTTTTATACCATTGCTGAGTTTTAATCGTTTTTGAAACAAACACTCATTTTAACTTGTCGCTTGTTGATTGTTGTTTTTATTATTCACCCTTCTGTCCTACCTTTTTAAAAGAGAGAAAGAGTTCTCAATGTACTTAAATGTCCAAATTTTGTTTAAGTTTGTTTTTGATGATATTTTTTCCAACTGTTGATTTGAATATTTTCTCTAGTCACTTACTAATTGCAGTAAGCCTCGTTTGGTGCGTGTTTCAACAGGTCCCTTACTTCCTGAGAATCTTGATGTTCAAGATATTCCTTTTCAACTAAGCAGACACCTTTCTGGGAATTTGAGTGGTAAGTTTATCTCATAGTTATCGCAAAGATGAGGTCCTCTATGCAAAGTATAGAAGATAAACAGCAATTTTGAAACGTTCCTAATCCATTCATGTCACTGTTCAGTAGCTGGAGAATTAAACGGTCTGAAAAACAACAAAGTGACACTATGGTCAACTCGTAGGTATACTGTGCAGAACATTTGGTTTTATCAGCTGAGTTGATAATGTAAATTGAGTTCGTGCCGTAAATGGTTTCGCATGATGACGTTTCGCGCGTTGACCCTTCGTCATTCACTCTGACGATGGGCTAACTTCAGCTTTAGAACTCTTTACAGTGAACAATCTACCTTATCAACTTAGTTGATAAAACCAAGTTATGTCGTCGTACCTTCGACGCAGCACCACAGTGTTTTTCATATCTGCAGAACATTATTAAAATATACAGCGATTGCTATAAGAGGCAACGATCCTGTGATTCCAAGAAAGAGAATTGAGTCTTACCCAATAGACCTCTTTACCTGGTATGTTTTGTTTACCCATTTTAGGTCATGTGATAATACTCTAGAAAACTGTTTCTTTCAAATTTTCCCTTTGTCATGTGCATATGTATGCTTTATTTGCAATGGATAAAGCTGGGAATTCCCGTGAGACCTGAAATGGATGAACAAAACAGACAAGCTAAATTGATCCGCCCTACAATCAGTCTGACATCTTTAATAAGATCCATGCTCTCCCCAAACTCCCAATTCCCTACTAGCGCCACGAAATTCGCATATCTATTCCCCCAGTACTTGTTTGTATGCTCCACAAATCCACGAGTGCAAAGAGTTTCATGTGTGGGGTTTTCTAGATGTAGAACGAAGTCGAAATATATTTTCGTTTTCAAGGCGGAGACGAGTGGACGATGGTGGCCGAGAGACTTGAGTTATCTCCAGCAGAGATTCGTTTCCTAGAGAAGCGGTCGCGTAACTCGTTTGAGGCTGCGCTGGTGCACTGTCGGAATCACCAGTATCTAACTTTTGGAGAGCCGTATGATGTTCTAGTTAATTGTGGGTATCCAGCATATGCTGACTTTTTGTGAAGCTATGATTTGAGTTTTATCTATGTAGGGTCTGTTTCTATTCAAAACGGGTAAATTTAATGAATTTGTGTATAAGGGTCAGTGAGGGTTTTAGTTTTCTACACAGCACAAAAGGTCGTTTTGCAACGATTTAGCAATCTGCAGTTAATGCTTTTATTTTTGTATAGCTTTATCTCTCAAGCATTTTTACATACATATTCTTTGTAGTGAAAATTGTAATGAGCCAGAGGCATCGATAGTTGTTTCTAGGTTTAACATAAGCATTTCAATATTTTTGTATTATGTTGTTTCAAGTTCAAGTCATAAATTTCAATGGTTTTGTAGACATAAAAAGAAATCAAACTATGAATCGACGACATTTAAATGTAATTAGAACTGTATCAAATAGGAATAGCAAAAAGGAAATTGTATTCTTGTATGAAACAGGACAGTGAAAATATATCATATGTTGTCTGTTTCGTTTTTGAATAAACGCAAAATGCTAACCCTATAAAAGTGTAATCAATATTAATTATGGACTATTTAGCCACTTAATGATAAATTTTGATATTGTTCTCTTTAATTAAGCGATATTTTTTAAATATCTTGTTTCGTAGCTTTTATTTTATTACAACTGAATAAGTTGTTAATCGTGATAATGGGGGAATTTAATTCTCGTTAAAAAAAAAAGAAAAAGCTTTGATAATGTTTTTTTTATAAGGAAGGAGCAACAAAAACTACTACTACAACAGCAATCTTTAGTTTTTCACTATTAAATATAGATTACAGCACGGTGTGGCCCGCACAAAGTTAATTGTTGCCTCTCTGGGCAGGTTAGTCTTCAAATTCTAGCAAGGTCTTATGAGAGAATCCTGAATTACAGTGTGTTAATTATTACATTGAAAATTATCACTTCAAATGATAGAATAAGAAAGAGGTAGAATGGCTTAGTGGAAGATATAAATATAGAAAGGACTTTTATAGGCTTTATTTGAAAAGCTACCAATTAATTTTACTTTAGGGATAATCTCATGTATGTCAAGAAAGGGATTATCTCCCTCTGATATACGTAGCAGTAAATTTCTTATTTAAAATGATTTAAATGATTTTAGGTGGCTCGTTAAGAGAGCATGGTATCTTATTGCATAATCTGACACCGATTCTTAAAAAAGCATTTTTTGTACTACAAGGTTTGATGGAGCTTTACAGATATAACTTTCTGTTAGTTAGAATTAGTAGTAGTGCAGAAAACGGTAACTTCTTGTAAAGGAAACATTGTACGTCGCAAATAGTGGGATTTCTGGAATAATTTTTAAAATTCCTCCCGGCACCGCTATATGATATAGTGTCATTTTTTTAGCGAAATGGATTTCGCTGTGGAAACTATTTTAGTTTAGTTTAGTTAGAGAGTAACTAGCCCTAACCGCCTCCCGGTTAGCGCAATGGATAGAGCGCTGGACTGTAGTGCGGGAGGTTGAGGGTTCGAGCCCCGGCCGGACCAACACTCA